TTCTGGAACAACTGTATATCCACTTATGAAAGAATGAAGTTGGACTCGTGCCTCATAACATATACAAAACAAATTCAAAGTGGAACAAAGACCTAAATATCAGAGCTAAAACTATAAAATTCTTAGGAAAACATAGACATAAACTTCATAACCTTGGATTGGGCAACAGTTTCTTAGATATGACATAAAAATCACAAACAGTAAAAGAAAAAAATAAATTGGACTTCACCAAAATTAAAAATGCTTGTGCCTCAAAAGGCTATATCAAGAAATTGAAAAGATAACTCACAGAATGAAATAAGTTTGCAAATCATATATCTAATAAGGAACTATATATCTATAGAATATATGAAGGATTCTTACAACTCAATAATAATAATTAAAAAACCCTGTTTTAAAATAGGTAAAGAATGGACATGATTCCATAGTGTAGCAGTTAGCATATCTGCTTTATATGTAGAAAGTCTAGGTTCCAGCCCCAGTGGAGCCACGGTCCCTGGTCTATGGCCATGCCATCCTGAACAAGCTGAATGTCTGATCTCAGAAGCTAAGCAGGGTCGAATCTGGTTAGTACTTGGATGGGAGACCACCTAGGAAGACCCGGTGCTGTAGGCATAGATAATAATAAATAATAAAGTAAATAAATAAAATAAAATAGGCAAAGAATCTGAATAGATATCTCTCCAAAGAAGATATACATATGGCCAATAAATACATGAAGAGATGCCCAACATCGTTAGTCATCAAGGAAAAGCAAATCAAAACCACAAGGAGATGACACTTCCCACCCACTAGGATGGTTATAATAAAAAGGAAAAATAATAAAAAAAAGTGTTGATGAGGATGTGGAGAAGTTGGAATCCTCATACATTGCTGTTGGAAATGTAAATGATGCAGGCATTTTAGAAAGTGATCTGGCAGTTCCTCAAAAGATAAAACATAGAATTACTTTATGACCCAGCAATTCCACTCCTATCTATATTCCCAAGAGAAATGAAAACATATATCTACACAAAGCTTTGCGTGCAAATATCATTATCTCATAATTTTCAATAGCCAAAAATTGGAAACCACCCCCAAAAAAATCCATCAATTGATGAATGGATAAATAAAATATATCTATAGAACAGAATATTACTCAGCAGTAAAAAGAAATAAAGTATACTGAACCATAATACAACATGAATGAATCTTGAAAACATTATGCTAAGTGAAAGAAGCCAGTCACAAAAGACCTCATTTTGTATGATTCCAATGTGAAATGTCTAGAATAGGTAAGTACATAGAGTCAGAAAGTAGATTCCTAGTTGCCTAGAGATGGAGGGGGGGTGGGTGGGCAGAGGGGGGGTGGGTGGGCAGGGCAGGGAATGAGAAGTGACTACTAATGGTGAGGGCCATCTTTGGGGGATGGTGGAAATGTTCTAAATTTTATGATGGTTGCACAACTGTACATATACTAAATATATGAATGTATCTGAATAAATGGTAGTAAAAACCATTGAATTCTACAACTTAAATGGGTAAATTGTATGATATGTGAACTATATCTCAAAGAAGCTACTATTAATTTTTTAGTTAAAAAAAGAAAAATGCTGACTGGGCTCAGCCGTCACCTCTTCTAAGAGCCTTTCTCCCTAAAATAAACCCACCAATTTATCCTCTTTGTTTTTTTTCACAGCCTGATACCCTGAGTTGTTTGTGGTTCTTTCCTTTTCTATCTTTCGGCTTTCCTCCAAGGGAGCCTCTTTTTGCCCCAGCCCCTCCAAAATCCAGGGTGCACCTAAATCAGTTCTAACCCCCACCCCCCACCCCACGCTGCCCCAGGATCTGTACTGGAGGCAAGCAGATGGTGTTTGAATCTGTTACAAAACATACATCAAATATCCATAATCATAATAACAGCTAGCATTCCAGCGCTTAATTAATGTTAGTGCTTGTTAATTGCTCTGTGCGTGGCATTTTACATGGGTTATCTCATCTATTTATTGTCACAGTTCTAGGAGAAAAACAGTAGTTTACTCCCATTTTACAGATGAGAACTGTCAGGTCCGTGGCTCTAGATCTCCTTAACACACTTCCAGGAAGAGCGCCGAGATGGCATAATAAGCGCCGCGCCCAATCGAGGTCGGATTCTTCTTATTAGCATCCAAGGGAAGAGGAACACGCCCACCAGCCACCGCCGCCTCCCGGGTTACCTACAATTCCCAGCGTCCCGCGGGCGCTGACGCTACCTTTACGGCCTCGGCAGGACAGGAAAAGCTTGTTTGCGATGCTTCTTGGGAGTTGTAGTCTCACTGCGAAGGGAGGTGGGGCTGTAAGAGGTTGGTGTATCTGGAGCCAATGAAGAAGCAGATGTGGTTGAGAGCTTAGCCAAGAAGCCAATGGGAACATGGCTTTGGGAGGGCGGAACTTCCTGCAACGAAGTCATGGTGAGCGGCTACGCGAGGGCGGTCACTTCCTTTTGGGGGTGGTGGCGAACGCGGCGGGAGAGCTATGAAGGCCTCGGGAACGGTAAAGTGGGCGCGCCGGGGTAGGGGGCCGCGGAACGCGTCTCAGACCGAATGGGGGGGACCTCAGGAGGTGGCGTGGCTCGCATCTGGCGTGCGCGCTCCGGGTTGGGACCCGCGCCGCCGCCGGCCGCCTCCTCCAGGTACAGCCAACATGGCGACCACTGCGGGCGCCGCGTGGGGAGGCCGGTGCGTAACCCAGGTCGGCTTGGGAATCGGGGTTCGTGGAGGCCGGACCTCCTTTCCAGAGGAAGAGACACGCGCAGCGTGGAGGCTCGCGCTGCGAGACCTCTTCGAGCTTCTGAGCCTCAGTTTTCTCGACTGCATAGTGGACGTGGGGGAAGGCAATAGTATTTCCATTTTTCTCGGTATGACTGTGAGTAGAAGAAAATTACAAACCCGAGTTGCCACGAGCCTTATTGCTGTGGCAAGTGTTAGACAAAATCAGGGCTCTATAGTGCAGAGATGGAAGAGCAGGCCCTGGGAAAAAGGGCAGGGGCAGGGGTGTCACGTACAGTTCTTCAGCCTCAGTTTCCACGCTGGGAAAGGGATTGCGTCGATCCCTTTCAGAACGGATGATCCACGAGGCTGATTAGTCAAGATTGAGAGGTGGAAGTAGGAGCTAAGTTTGCGGTATTTGGGGCTACCTTCTGTTGACATTAGTAAAGTGGTCGGGAGTCATTTATGGAGGTGGCACTTTTTTATATCACAGGGTTAGGACTTGGCAGACATCCTCACATTTGCATCCATGTAAACATGGAGCTTCCTCTTGGCAGCCCAAGTCCCTTGGGCTGTAGCTGGGAAAACTAAGGCAGCTGCAGGTTACATGGAAGCAGTGCAGGAAGCCCAGGGCTGGAGAGGGAACTAGATTATTGTCCTGCTTCTGCCTGGAGTGAGCTATAAGATAGGCTAGTCACTATCTCTGAACCACAGAGTAAAAGAGGACTTGGACAAGATTCTGTGAGTTGCAGAGATGCTGTGGTGGAAAGAGGTTACCTGACTGTTCTGAGCCTGAGACTGCAGGTCTAGGCCTCAGCTTTCCCCACATATGTAAAGAGAAAAGGAGAGGCAGCAGGGTTGACAGCTTTGCTTAGCTTTTCTGAGCCAGGGCAAAGGGTCCATGGCCCTCTTGGTTAATCTTCCTGCCCTCACTTTGATGGGTCAGGCTTGACAGCAGTGTGACTGACAAGCATTCAGATTCCATGTTGAAGCCTTGGGATGGGATTCACCCTTCTCTATCCACTGGTCACCAGTGGAAAGGGAGTGGGGCATCTCCAGTTGCCTCAGCTGTGGATGCTGGCCTCACCCCACCCCTGATTCTGTTTCAGCTACGAGAATACAAGGTGGTGGGGCGCTGTCTGCCCACCCCCAAGTGCCGCACGCCTCCCCTCTACCGCATGCGCATCTTCGCGCCTAACCATGTCGTTGCCAAGTCTCGATTCTGGTACTTTGTGTCACAGCTGAAGAAGATGAAGAAATCTTCAGGGGAAATTGTGTACTGTGGGCAGGTATGGGATGTTTGAAACAGGGTGGGTCTGGATTTACACCTTCCATGGTGCAGGGTTACCAGGCCTCAGTTCAGATCAGACCCTAGGTTGGGATGGGATGGGATGGATATGGTGTAGTTAGTGCTCTGGGACACCTTGGCTGAGGCCATCTCCTTCCCTGGGCCTCATCTGTGAAAGGGTGCTGTCACCTGAGCACATTGCTGTGATGAGCACCAGACTGCACCATGAGGCTGCACTGGGGCGGCAGCTGGTTTTTGGTCCCAATGTGTTTGGGAGGAGTCAGGACTTGTGCTGGTCTCCATGGGCGAAGGGGCCTGGACTGTTCTGCACCCCACTGTTGCCATAGAAATTTCCCTTCAGATACGTGAAGGTTCTGGGGCCGGGCTATCCGTGGAGCAGCAGGGGCAGAGGTAGTGAGGGTAGGGGCCGAGTGGAGACCAGTGTACTGCTGGCCTCAGCCTGTCTCCTCTTTGGCAGGTGTTCGAGAAATCCCCTCTGCGGGTGAAGAACTTTGGCATCTGGCTGCGCTACGATTCCCGAAGTGGCACCCACAACATGTACCGGGAATACCGTGACCTGACCACTGCAGGCGCCGTCACCCAATGCTGTGAGCCACCAACCCCCTACTCCCCCAGTCAGGTCCCTTTTTTAGACCTGGACATCTGCAGCTCAGTCTGATCCCTCCCCCGCCCCCCGACTGAGGCAGGACAAGTGCAAGAGGCTTCACGGGCAGGAGAGGGAGTGAGTCCCAGGGATGGTGACATAGAATGTGGGAGAGGTGTTTACTTAGGGGTAGGAGGAATGGAGAGGATACCCCAGGCCTACCTTTTTTTTTTTTGGACCCTGGCAGCAGGTGGGCCTTTTGAGGGTGGCTTCTGGTATAGATGCAGCTCCCACCCAGAACCTGGTTCAGCCCCTGTCCAGTGTTGGGACCTGTTGCAGCCCCAGGTATTCCTAAGGTGGGCTACCTGCCAAGGCTGAAACCCAAGCACCTAAACCCAAGAACTGCTGTTTCTTGTAACAGCAGTTTAAACAGAGGTGCTGATAGCAAGCGGATCTCGTCGCCTTTGGGGGCTATTCTGTGCCCCTTAAAGTGAATTTGGAGGTTCTACACTCCTGGTGGCCAGAGACTAGTCCCCAAGTTGGGGGCCCCCCAGGCAGGAACATGATGAGAGGTTTAGAGAATGCCCAGAGCCCCCAAGGCACATTCACCCTGCCCTCCTGCTCCCTGCAGACCGAGACATGGGGGCCCGGCACCGTGCCCGCGCCCACTCAATCCAGATCATGAAGGTGGAGGAGATTGCAGCCAGCAAGTGCCGCCGACCAGCTGTCAAGCAGTTCCACGTGAGTGCCCTGGGGCCCTTGCTGGGCTGAGGAGCTTTTGCCCCAGCCTTGGTTCTGACGTAGGAGCCCAGTGGGGGGTGGCCACACCTCAGTGGCCCTCTGAAGGACAAGGTTAAGAGGCTTCCACCCCCCTCACCCACCTCTCTTTGTCACAGGACTCCAAGATCAAGTTCCCGCTGCCCCACCGGGTCCTTCGTCGCCAGCACAAGCCACGCTTCACCACCAAGAGGCCTAACACCTTCTTTTAGATACAGAGCCTCCCTGTCCCCTGGTCTGCCCAAATAAACTTTTTGGGAACACCGGGGTGCTCAGATACACTTGTTTTCTTTGCATGCCCTGCAGAACTCAAAAGGGTGCAGCCAGTCTGAGTTCTTTGTTCCAGGTGGGGTTCTCTTCTTCAAGTGGGGCCCACATAGTAGAATCTCCAGAAGGCGGGGCAGGAATGGTGAGGGTCTCACCCCCAAGCTCACTGACCTCTCAGGTCCCTGGGGCTTTGTCCATTGAGGTGTTGTCATGGCAGAGGTCCTGGAGTCAGCATGGTTTTCAGCCCTGCCAGGCAGCCCTCTCCTGTGAGCTCTGAGGTGTACTGCAGGCCACAGGTTTGGCCCCCGAATCTGTCCCCTACTGCTTCATTAAACACAGGGCTCATATGGACCTTGGGAGAATTGAATTGTAGGGCTCCCCTCCTGACATAAAATCTGGTCTTTGGTACCAAGGTCTTCAGAGCAGATACAGGGGGGCATCCAAGAGGCCCATGAGCCTGCTTTGCTGGAGTTAGCTTTCTCTTTCCTGGTTGGCACCCCTGAAGCTGCCTTGATCTTTCCCAGGAGGTCAAGATCTCACTGAGGGTGTCTGTCTCCAGGAAACGGTTGGCACCCCTGAAGCTGTCCTGATCCTTCCCATGGAGGTCAAGATCTCACGGAGGGTGTCTGTCTCCAGGAAACAGCTTGAAGCCTGGAGAATTCCAGGCATGAAGTTAATCCCACCTTGTGATTTCTACCCTGGCCAAGCCTTCAGTAAGGAGGCTGAGACAGCTGAGAGCTCTGGCCTTAGGAGTTTTTGTCCTTGATGTGTCACCTTGGGTTCTCTGAGCATTGGTATCCTTCACAAGGTCAGGCACCAACTAAATGTACTCAGTTGACAGTGCTGGGGGCGCAGGCTGGTAGGACCCACCATGGATTGAAGGAAAGCCCGGATATAAAAACTGAGTTGAGAGTCAGGGGAGCATCCAGGCCTAGGGTAAACTAGGCAGGGGACATACCTGCTACTACCTCATGGAGGGCGTGGGGGAAGAGCATTTTGCATGATCATGGTGATTTCCAGAAAATAGGTCACTTCAAAGCCCAGATGCCCAGGCCACCGCTTGTGCACAGCCAACTGTTCTCACAGGAAAGAGGCCTGAGGACAGGGTGGGCTTCCAGGGCCATCACCAGCTGCTTTGCCTGTTGTCCCAATGTAGTTGACTCCCCATCTTGGCCTTTGTACTTTCTGAGTCCTCTACCTGGCCTGCTCTCCACAGGTCACACTGGGTTGACCTCAGCAATGTCTAAATTACCCATCTATTCATGTCATTAGTTTTCTGTTATCAGTCTGAGCAGGAACCAGATCTCAACTGTGTCCCCAGAAGGACTTCAGTATGTCTTCATGGAACTCAGAAAAGGGCAGTGATGGCCAGTGAATATCTCTGCCTGTGTCTGCACCACATGGGGTAGCAATGCTTAACTCTGGCCTGGCGTTTATGGGCCAGGTATTTGTTTTTGAGACTGCTAAAATCCCTGCAAATACATTTACATCCAACACACTTCCCTACAGGCTTAAGGAGTCCTGGTTTCCTACTGCCTTGCCAGCACCTGTGTGTGAGCAAACTCCGATGGCTGATAAATCACATTTTAGGATATACTATGAAGTAGGTATTTTTCTCCCCAAATTAAAATCATTTGTATGAACTTGTTTCTCTATTCGGCTGCTGGTCATTTATTGATTTGTAAAAGCTCTTATGTGAGGCTAAAGCCTGGAAAAATCCCTGTGTATGTTGCAAGTACGTTCATGGTACTTTTGATATTTTTAAGGTATACTTTGGGATATCAGGCTAAGATATTTTAATGTTTGCCTGGAAACTTAGTTGCCCCCAAATATTCTTTCTCTCCTTCCTCAGTGATATGATCCCCATGTCTAGATTCCACCCAGGAAAAGTTTCCCAGCCTCTCAGTGGTGATCATGTAGTAATGTGTGCCATTATCAGGAAATGCCCGTCCGGCTGGAATCTAGCCGCAATGGCCAGTCCTCCGTCACCCATATTTGATCATGAGGGAGCAACACAAGCAATAGGTGGAAGGAGCTTGGGTTCCAGACCCTGTATCTGCTGTAACTAGAACATGAGGAAGAAGGAAATAACCAGTCCTGTTTAGGCTGTAATCGAGCTGCTTGGTCACTCATCTGGCCTGGAGGTGAGCCCTGATGGCTGTGCCTGGGGCAAGTCACTGCCTCCTCAGCTTTAGTTTCTTGCTGTGTAAAGCAGGGGACGGGAGTGGGGGGGAGTCGGGGGAAAGAGCTGCAGATAAGCTAGAGGTTGAGAGAGGCTGTAATGCACCACCAAGAATGTTCAGGGCCATACAAAGGCCCACTGGGCACCCCATCTCCACCTTGCTCCACTGAGGGCTCATACACACTATAACCTGGAACCAGTTGGGAGAGCTCTCGCCCCACCAGCTGAAGGTTGGAGTCAACCCCATTATTGAGTGGCCTTGAATGGAGGAGAGCGAGCCCAGCTCCCTAACCTCCACCTGTTCACTCACCCTACCATCTCATGAGTTTGCCCACAGACCTTTTCAGCATGAAATCATTCCCCCTGGCAATTCCCCACAAACCCTGCTCAGAGCAGCTAGTGGGATGCTGGCTAGAGGTGAGGACCACTGAATTGAGCCTTCAGTCTTAAGAGGGAGTTGAAGTGCCAGAACCACCCAGCAAAGGCTGGAACTAGGAGATGAGCCCTTCTGTGTGGAACCCGTGAGGTGGGGGTGGCATTGGGATTGCTGGCACCCCTCTGGTCAGCTGGGACTCACCAGGCCAGCCCAGGGATGATGGCAGGAACCTGGTGAACCCCTCCCACTGCCTCAGGTAGGTTTCCCAGGTCTCGTTCCTGGGCCTGTCCAGGTGCCAGATGTCCCACCTGAGCAGGGATGGGAGCCCTGGGAGAGAGAAACTGCAAGCCACTCATCCCTGATCCACCCTGCACTCAGTGCCTGAGTCAGGATCATCCAGACAAGGCCAGGTGCCAAGGCAAGACAAAGTGAGGGCTGCAGGAGATCCAACCCAGATCCTGAAACCCAGTGAGACTGAGAATCATGGAATCATGGAGTCTAATCCTCAAGACTAGACAGACTCCTAGAATCTCAGTGATGGTACATGCAGTGATAAAGTTTTGCTTTTACTGAGTATAGGTTACAAGTTCAAGGACAAATACGCAGTGGGTCATTCTAGAGCCAGAGTAGCTCACAACTTCTGGCCCCTGCCATGACTCTAGGAAGCCATGGGAGCACTGGGGGTGCCCAGGTAGCAGGCAGGGGTGGGCAGCAGATAACCCACACAACACCCCAGCATTTCTGTTCCTTATGCTCAGACTGCTTCTGTTGGGCCTTCAGGATCACCCTGCCCCTCTCCCTTCATTGACTGGGGAGGGGATACTTTCCAACTCTTATCCTGGGGTCCTGCCTGCCTCTTTCCCATTAAAGTAAGAATACTTCTCTCCACCCTGCTCCCTGTCCGTGACCATGCTTCCTCCCCACACTCCCCAGCAGGCATAAGAGATGGTCCCACCCACCCCGAAGGGCTTCCACTCTGGGTCTTCTCTCATGTCCTGGAATTCTGGAACGTTCTGAATCCACCCATTTCTCCCCATCCCATTAGGTCCATTATTAGTCTACCATTGCTCCAAACTGTCCAGTGGCCCCCCCATGCCCTTAGAATAAAATCCACACCCCTCAACAAGGCTTAAGGTCCCCTGGGGCCCTCCCTGTTCAGCTCCTTCCTACCTCAGGGCCCTTCCCCCAGCTCTCTCCAAGCCTGGCTCATTCTCTGCCTGCAGGTCTCTATTCACTTCCCCAGAGAGTTCCACACCCAGAGACCCCACATAATGTCATCACTCTTGTCATCCATCGGCTTCTGAGATGGGTATTCATCTTCTGGCTGGGTCAGTGCCATGATCCTGTGAGCCAGCTGGGTTCACCTGGATCCTGCTGCATCCCCAGCGCCTGGTGCAGGGCCCTGCACACAGTAGGTGCTCAATGAAGGGGCCTCAGCCCTGGTGTCAGTCTGCATCCTGGAGACCCCCTCCACCATAGGGTAGGGGAAGAGGGGAGCTTGGACCTGATGGTACCCCCTCCCAGAACTTTCCTGGGGAGACAGGACAGGTCTGCGGGCACTGGCATAAATTTGCATGTATTTGTGTTCGTTTGCATGGCTTTATGGGAAGGGATCCCCGCCTGGATTTCCTCTTTTTCAGCAGGTTTTCCAGGAGGATACTGCACAGATGGGCCTGGAAAAATAATGGAGGTGGAAGAAGTACTCAGTGTACTCCCCACCCTCTTGGCGTGGGCAGAGGGTGCAAACCAGAGAATAAAAGATGCCTGTATGACAGTCGTGTGGTCGCAGCCCCAGGGAAGGAGTAAGCCTGCCCTGCGCATCGCAGAGAAAGTCCTGGGAAACACGTGGGGAGGCCTGGGGGACGCTGGACCCAGCTAGGGCAGCGCATGTAGACCAGAGAGGGCCACTAGGGGGCGGCAGAGGCCGGGGAGGATTGCAGCACCTTAGCGTTTCACCCGCGGATTCTTAGAACCCTGCGGTTTACCGAGGAGGGAACGCAGTTTTTGGAGGGAGAGCCAGGACTCAAACCAGAGGTCAGAGCCTCCAGAGGCCAAAGTCTCTCCAGGTACCCCAGCGAAGAGCCCCAAGATGACAGTGTCTGAGTCCCTTGATGGCATGATTCCAGGCAAGGGACTTCTCTCTGTTTCTAGGTCTTCTCATTTGCGTGATAGAGATATTCCAGACACTACCTCCCTAGGTAGTTGTGAGTCTCCATTTATTTGGGTTCATGGTCACTGACAGCACCTCCCCATGAACTTCATTGTACTTTATGCCTGGCACAGGGCAGACGCTCAGTGCATGTTTGACAAGAAACAATGAAGAAATGAATGAATGAATGAAGAAATGAATGAAAAGGCGCCTACTCTGTACCAGATTTGTGTAATGTGGGTTGGATTTGTTCATCTGAGGCAGAGGGTCTTTTATCTCCATTTACAGATAGAGAAACTGGGGCCCAGAGAAAAGCAAAGTCTTCCTCCAGTACATATGCATCCCAATGTTTCCCACTGGGAGAGTGGCATTTGGTGATGCCCTCCTGCTAGGCTCTAGAGAAAAGGGTTCCAAGTGCCAGTTGGGGAAGGGGTTCACGTGGGACGAGTTTTCCTTATGGGACTCCCACAGCCTTGAAAGTGAATCCCAGTCCTGTAAGAGAGTGAGTTCCTGGTAGCTCAAAGGTACTACAGGACAGCCAGGATTTGGTTGCTGAAGCCACTGCTGCCGGCTGTGTGGCCTGGGGTGAGTGACATGCAACCTCTGAGCCTCAGTTTCTCTACCTGTCAACAGGAAACATTAACAGCCCTTGGTAAAGGGAGAACAGCATGAAGCAAGGGGGCATTTGGACGCCTTCCCGCCCCCATCGCTAGCAGCCACCCACGTGACCCCGTCCAGAGAGGAA